TCTCTCATCATTATCCCTCGCAAAAGAATTCTGTCATAAGTTTATTGGTTTACATAGCGCTCACAATTTCGGAACCATCTTCTCTGAATGGAGAACTACAACACCTCAGTACAGCCTTAACTAAAAATGGATACAACAACAAAAATATCTCGCAAATAATAAAAAACCAGAAGAACAGAATTGTCAGTTCTAAAAACACTGACACACTAGATGAAGAGAGAGAAAAGAGAAAAACGGCTGTCCTTCCATATCTCCAGGGCATAACAGAACCTATCAGCAGGATTTTGGGTAAACACAAAATCAAAGTAATCTTCAAACCTCATAGGAAGCTCTCCCATTTACTCCCAAATCCGAAGGATCAGAAATCATGCCTAGAAACATCAGGTGTATATAAGATCCCTTGCTCTTGTGGTAAAGTTTATATAGGAGAAACCGGGAGGAAGATCAGTACGCGAATCAAGGAACACCAGCGATGTACCAAGTATGGTCACTTTACTCAATCAGCCCTAGCTGAACGCTGGATGGAGACTAGACACTCCGTACAATATGAAAAAACCACCAAATTGGCTCCCTCACAGAGTTATTTTGCCAGAAAACATCGTGAAGGTCTAGAAATTTTGAAACATCCCAACAACCTCAACCGAGACAAAGGTATGCAAGTAAACTCTATTTGGCATACTGCCCTCCCGGTTTTTTAATTGACCAGCTGATCAATTAAAATACGCTGATTGGCTGGATTCAAGCCTCGTCCCCTACTCCCTAAACACCATCTACACAAAGGGGGGGGGAGGGGGGCATATAAGGACTACCTTTACCCAAGGGAGCTCAGTATCCGAGTTCTCAGCCCTGATGATGCAAACTGCAACGTTTGCGAAACGTTGGCATATCGCTGATTCAAGACACGGCTCTATTCCGGAAACTATATCTAGACATGCACCGTTTTGTTCGATAACTTGTTGCCATTTTGAAGGTAATTCCATTATGCCTCTCTCATAGAAACCCTTGTCCCTATTGGCAAAAAACTGGGACATTCGATTTTCACAAGCTTCTCTTGAGGCGAATTTTTCACTAGCAAAATCATTTGCCATAGACAGAAACGGGTGGGACCCGATTGACCACGATACGATTGGACACAGATTATAATGATTGGTTCGACATAGTAATTCACTAGATAATTTTTTTCATCGGTTAGTTGTGTCCAATCGTACCGTGGTCAATCGGGACGCTCCCGACAGGAACAGGTAGTAATCACTTGTTACCAGGTCCGGACTATAAGGTGGATGAGAACCTTCCAACCAAGCTCCCGGAACTTCTGGCGAGTCACTATTGATGTGTGCCTGGCGTTATCCTCATGGAACACAATTCCTCTCCTATTGGCCAAAGCTGGCCGCTTCTGGGCGATTGACTTCTTCAGACGGTCCAATTGTTGACCAGATGGAAATTCGGTCCATGAGGTTTTTTTGCGTTAACTCGTGTGGCACCCATACTTCTTTTTGTATCCAGCCTTATTCAAGTGATTCCAAGCGGTTTTTTGTGCAATGTTTAGCTCTTGGGCAATCGAAACAGTGCTTACATGACGGTCGGACTCGACGATTTCCATTATTTTATCGACATTTTCGATAATTGGTCTTCCAGAGCGTGGTGCATCTTTGACATCAAAATTACCGGAATCGACGAAACCAAAATTGAGTAACAAAATGGCTAAATGTGCGTAAATGGCTGTTACAGTATCAGGACCATAAACACTATTCACATTTTCAGCCGCCTGGCTTGCGTTTTCGCCTTTATCGAAGAAAAACTGTAAAATATGGCGTATTTTCTCTTTGCTGGTGTCCATCTTTGACGCGCGCTCAAACAATACTGAGTCAAACAATCACAAAACTGTCTCAGAAGTTTTTTTAGTACAAAATCTTATCTTTTTAACGCCATCTAACATAAACCGATCGCACTTATATAACGCGAGATAGTAGGTTATATAGATGTTCGTTGTTTTCTACTCACACGTGTTACAGTTATACAGGGTGTCAAATAAGTCCCGGGACGGCAAGATAACTTGGCGGGGGAGCATTTTAGAGAAAAATGTTTCAGACAAAAGTTGTAAGGCTTAAAAAAACGCATTCAACGATAATAGTTATTTGACATAGGATGGCGTCGCCAAGGTCAAAACAAGATCAACTTTGCTTTTTTAAATAGAAACAAATATTTTTTATTACGGCATTTTATTTTACGTAAAAAAGCAGACAACTTTTGCTTGAAAAAATGTTTTATACGACCTCTATTTTCTAAGATATTTACGTAAATATCTACAAAATTATTGGTTTCAATAATTTTTTACTTGAATTCTATTAACTTTACCGAAAAATACCAAGAGATAAAAATTGTATATTTTGTTCTCATAGAGCTCTGAAAATTTTTTCAGAATTTTATATTAACTTTTTAGTACTTCATTTTCTTACATTTTTTTGAAGTACTTGCTGTCCCTCCCTGGTTCTCCCTGTCACTTGCTGTCTCTCCCTGTGCCTCGTGCACAGAAAGTATTTCTTATTTAAAAATATTAGGAAGAGGAACGTTATCTTCTTATTCACTTATTTAAACACTATAACTTCATTTTTCTTTTTCATTCTTCTTTATTCTACTAATCCCTTATATTCCTGATTATTTTGCTGCATTATTCAAATTTTTATTTCAATACTGTTACACATTCTATAACTTCCATATTCTTTTTCTTTCACTTCTTTACACATCCTTGTTCTCTTGGTTTTTTACTGTCTTATCCTTTTATTGATTCCTCTTTTATTCATGTCTTTCCCTAACTTTCCTTGTCTGTCCCTGTCTCTCCCTATCTTTCCCTGTCCTTCTCTGTCTCTCGTGCGCAAAAAGTGTTATTATTTATTAAAAAATTACGAAAAGGTACGATATCTTCTTATTCACTTATTTAGGCACTATGACTTCATTTTCCTGTCTTATTCTCCTTTATTCTGCTAATCCCCTATTTTCCTGATTATTTTGTTGCATTATTTCAATATTATTACGCGTTCTATAACTTTCGTATCCCTTTTCTTTCACTTCTTTACACATCCGCTTCCTTGTTCTCTTGGATTTTTACTGTCTTATCTTTTTATTGATTCCCCTTTTACTCATGTCTCTCCCTGTCTCTCTCTGTCTTTCCCTGTCTCTCTCTGTCTTTCTCTGTCTTTCCCTGTCTCTCTCTTTCTCTCCCTGTCTCTCTTTGTCTCTCATGCGCAAAAAATATTATTATTTATTCAAGAATATTACGAGAAGGAACGATCTTCTTATTCACTTATTTAGGCACTATGACTTCATTTTCCTTTCTCATTCTCTTTTATTCCACAAACCACTATTTTCCTAATTATTTTACTGCATTATTTCAATAATATTATGCATTCTATAACTTTTATATTCCTTTTCTTTCACTTCTTTACATATCCCTTTTCTTGCTCTCTTGATTTTTTACTGTTTTATCCTTTTATTGATTTCTCTTTTATTCATGTTTCCTATTAAAAAATAAGTAGCAACGCCACTGTTAGTTCTCTCGATAACCAAAGAAATCTTATTCAAAATTTCTACTTACATTTTTATTGAGCGCTGTATTACTAAATAACAACCTTAATTTTCAAAACTTCATAAAACTTTGTTTATAGTATATATCCTAGCGACATATATTGATTGACCGACAATTAGCTATTGTAGATTCATTGGCTGCTGTAGATTCAACATTAGCTCAATACTTTGTGCTGCTTGGATATTTAAAGCTGTCAATTAATGAAAGTTTTCTATTATTTTTTTGAAGTCTGTAAACCAAGCACTCCTTTTTTAAATAAAAAAATTTTTTCTCTAGGTATAGCTCATAAAAATACATTAATAAAAGGGTGGACCATTTTAATCCATCCAGTCAAATATGTCGAAAACCAAGCACGGGAGAGAAAAATTTTTCAGACAAAAGTTGTTTGGTTTCGAGGAGACCATAAGATGGTACTATTGCTTTGACCTTGAAGAATTATTTGAAAGTCACATGAAAGTCACCTCAATTTTTTTAAACGGCATCCCCTATTTTTTATTACATATTCTTGTAGCTGACCTCGAGAGCTTTCCAAAACATTCTAATGAAATGTTTCTTCATTGAGTACTTTTCGAGTTATAAAGCTCCAAAGTTGCAATATGAAAAAATTCAAAATATCTCGTAAAGTATTCACTTTCCGTCTTATCTTACACGATTCAACTAGTCAAG